CTGGAGCAGAGCGAACACGAACCTCATGTGTCATGAAGAAGTGGGCATACTTGTCGAGTATATTTCATACATGTGCAGCGTATGTTAAAAACTGGTTTTTGTTGTTATTTTACAGTATATTTTTAATTCTGGTTTGAAAAGGTTTAATATGCAAAAAATGTGAACAAAAAAGAGTTTTGATATACAATTTTTCTTAGAAAATTACAAGATTTTGAAGTAACCATATATATTGCAATGCACTCCTGACATTTGACATAAATTTTATTTCACTTTGTTTTAAGGTCATACACAACGTAATTTGAACTTCATTGGGCTATTCCCTGGAATTGAAGAGTTCCATTAAACGAAGGACCTTTGAGCAATACTTTTAATGTCTAAATGGATTTGTACACCTCATAAAAGAAATTTTGACGGGAAAAAATCTGGAATTAAGGTTTTGTAATTTTTGTATATTTTTCTTTGAAAAATGCAATTTTTTTCATAATTTGATATCCAAAAACCCCTGGTAATGTATGCTGATTTTTTGGTCTATGAACATCTGATGAAACTACAATCTTGAATTAAGAATATCTTGGAAAATTATCAGTAGGTAAGGTACCGATTGTCCTTAAGTAGCCAATGAACACCATAAACAGATGACAAAAGAATATTACTAATGAAAGCAGAAAATGTAAACAAGTAATGTAATAGAAAGTGATATTAGTAACACGTATCGGTATGAAAAATATAAATATTCGTTTTAAACTATATAGGTACATGACTCCTCGTGATACATCAAGGGTACGGGCACAATTAGGGCTTAAAAAGGAAAATTGATTTATTACGAAATGGATGTAATATGGAAGTACGATGTAATAATACACTGCGTAATAAGAATGTACTTTTACGAATCAAAGTAGAATGTAATCAAGGATGTAACAGTACAGCATGTAAGTATGATGTAATAATATAATATAGAAGTATTAAGAACGTAGTATTGCAGTATTGTGCCGTCACCTGTATCACACCGTGCAGAATCGTTGTATTTACTACTAAGTATATGATAAATAGCGATAACGAACAGTTTTCAAGCTCAAAAGTCCGTAAAAGAAATACAAAACAGGAGCAGAGCAAATACGGACCTCCAAAACATTAGAATTGGTGCCATGGAGGAGTGAACGTCTTTTTCAAGTAAAATATCCAAAAATGAAACAGATGTATCAGACTCTGTGGTATCCTTTATCTCAAGCTCACCAGGATATATCGTATCGACATAAGAATGAAATTTCAATAGTTATTTGATAATGCGTCGTCGATACATCTAAATGTCAAGTTGAAGGCCAGAACAAGTGTTTTCTTCTTTTCACGCAAAGGATTTCAGTTCTTAATTATTGAATACATAAGGATATATGGTTTTCATATTGCCCCTCATTTTTTGATACGCGATTTTGTCATGGATCTGCAACATTTAATCCATTCTGATAAAGTAAGAGGGCTGTTCAATAAATAATGTCCTGAACTCTATGACATACAGCATAGAAATCATATGGCATTAAGCTTGACTTTCTCTCATGATTGACTTTTTAATGAATTGATAACAGTTTATGTGACCACTTTTCATCCCAAACATGTAGTTTCATTGTGAGAAGCTGGAAAACAAGGGCTATTCGAGACACTGCATTAAAAATGAATGGTAAAGAATTAGTAAAGTAGAGTGAAATTAAACGCTTCATTAAAGCTGCTTAAAAACTTGTTAAGAATCTAAAAGAAATATTCACCGAAATATGTTAAATTTACAGCAACCAATGTCTGTTTCATAGACACATAAGCAGGTGGACTTCAATGAACAAAAATGATATAATGGGCATCAAAAATTAGTATACCCTCCTTGGCGACAAGAAACTGCAACAACCAATGTACTGTTTTGTCAAAATTCAACAAATTCTCACTGATGATGTTTGATTGACTTTAAAACACATAGCAAATTTGATAGGGATTATTTTGGGGGTAGTTCACATTGTTTTAAAGGAACATTTGACAGTAGAAAAGCTTGGTATTCAATAGTCACCCTATGTTTTGAAAAAAATGAGTGAAAACGACAGCGTGTAAGAATATCTAAACAATTGTTTTAATAAATCAAAAATTGCAGTTTTCCACCTTTGTCTGAAGTTCAAACAGATAATAAAACTTAAACCCATTGCTTTAAACCCTCAAAATTAATTAACAATAAGATGCACTTGACAAAAACAGCAAAGGTCTGAGAAGAGCATAGAATTGCAAGAGCACAAAAATAGTTTTATATGCCTTTTTCTGAAATATTAGTGGTCTATTTGTTAAAATTCTTATTTGGGGAGGAAGTTTATTTTCTGAAAGAGTCTAGTAAGCAAATTTTTGCCAAGATATCGAAAGGTTTATGTGAGGCAGGACCAGGAATCAGGAATCCACTACATTTAATTTCTTCATGACAGCGTCCAAACCCACACGCCCTGAAGAGTAAAGGAGTTTGGGGGATAAATAAAACATCAATGTTTTGTCACACCAACAATATTTGAGAGATCTTTCATCCTTTGACGTGTTTCATTTTCAACATAAAAAAACACCATTCAGAAAGATGAAACAAGTCCAGGAAATCAAAGGATCTGCCATATTCCATTATACGAAGGGCCATACTCAAAAATATGTTCTAAAAACAATCAGAAATTGGATAAAAATGTTTCGGGAATATGTTTTAATTAAAAGAGAATGCTGATATTTAAGTGAAATCATTAAGACTAAATCATTGAAAAGTGATTTTGTTTCTTTCCGAGCATCGAGGACATCATTTATTGAACGGTCCTCGTAGGACTCCAAAGTGCGATGGGACTCCAAAGTCTGATGGTCTACGCCAAACCCTGATGCTGCTGAAAAATATTAACGTGTATGACGTCATAGTACTAATGCGCCAAACCTCAATGCCGCGCCATTCCAAGGTCTTAAAAATAAGCATAAATAAATATATATTATTATAACAGTAACTTGATCCGAAGGGTCGTATCACGTCGAATTGACAGGCGCAGATCATCAGATCAAACGAGACGCTTCGTGTCTCGTTTGATCTGATGATCCGCGCCTGTCAACGAGACGTATTACGGCTCTTCGGATCAAGTTACTGATATAATGATAAATTTATTATATACCCCCTAAAAACTGGCTAAATATATTAAAATAAATCTTTAGAGATCAATTGTATTATAATAATCTACAAGCAAATTCAAAGAATTGTGGTCCCCCGCTCTAGGTGTCTTTGTGGGAGAGATGTTATTTTTTTTGACATATTGTGTCTAATATGAACACCCTATCATATGTCATTTGTTTAGAAATTATCATTGAAGTTGATTTTTTCTTAAGATAAGGTCAATCGTGAAGGTAAAGGTCAAGGGGTAAGAAATCATAGCATGCTCGGAATTATCTTGTCACAGGTAATGCACAGTCAAGTATGAAAGCTCTCTTCTCAATATATTGGAAACAAATTTTTCTTAATTGCAAATATATTATTACCCAAAGTAAGGTTTTTCTCACAAGAAATACGATTGTGAAATACAAAATCCCTAGCATCACCTGTTCAAAAATTATAGTCGAGGATAAATTTTTGAAAGGTAGGACAAACTCCAAGGTGAAAGGGTCTGAGTTGTTGTTTCATAGGAAAGGTCTTGTCTCAAATAATACATATGTGAAGGATGAAAACCCTAACCCTAACCGTTCAAAAGTTATGACCAAGGTTAAAGATTTTTAAAAGTAGGTCAACTCCAAAGTCAAGGTCACAGGGTTACAGTTCTTGGTATTCAATGAAAGGTCTTCTCACACAGATTATGTGAAGTATAAAAGCCCTAGCCCTTACCATTCAGAAGTTATGGTCAAGGTTAATTTTTTTCATAATTACGTAAATCTCCAAGTTCAAGATCAAAACCTCAAAGTTGTTGGTATCCAATAAAAGGTCTTGCTACAAAAAATACATATGTGAAATATGAAATTCCTTGTATCTATCATTTAAAAGTTAGGGCCAAGGTCAAAGTTTTTTAAAAGAAGGTCAAACTCCAAGGTCAAGGTCAAAAATGTAACTTTTTTCTCCAATTCACCGCTCGTTTTGAGATCTGCTTTGAAAATAGAGAAAATTTGTTTGTAATATAAACTTTATGAAGGTTTTACACCTATTGATGCGTTATTTGCTGAAACTCAAGTCGTAATACCAAATTGTTTTTAAAGAGGTTTACAAATTTTCAGCATACTTTTTATGAAAATTCGTCAAATAGACAGCCATCATATTATGAAAAAACCTAATTAAATCGCATAGTTTTATATAGATATTTCTCAATTTTATATACATTTTATTTCATTGTTTATATAAATGCACCTCTGATCAAACCTATTTAATGTGTTAATTAACTAATGTATTAACATATGTATGTAATTTACAAATTAAAGTGGCTAGAATAAGATAAACTTTGAATCTTTTTTCCCGTTTACATGGTATATCATTCAAGATAATCTAAAAACGACTTCCGTTCAATATTTCTTTGTTGAACAAAAAAAGATAATATGTTTTTCATGATAATTTACAAATTAAAGTGGCTTTTAAAGAATTATCTGTTTTGAATTCTCTTTTTATATAATTTTTTTTAATTTGAATTTACTTTTTTTAAGTGTTTTAAAAGAAAAATTTAATATTACTATATTATGAATATATTGTGTTGAATAAGTTTTGAGATTCCCAGAAAGTTTACATATAATTGCTAATTAAAAAAGTTTGTATCAGTACCTAACATTGAATCCATTTGATAGGGCAAAGTCACTGATATAATTTTAATAAAATCTATTTGTTGTTAAAAAAAGAGCTGTACATATACTATGTTGCGTTGAATAATTTTGAGAGAATGAGATTAGGGGTCCATTTTTGTCATTTCTATTTGTTTAATGTGCATGAATTAGATAAACAGTACAGATATATCAGAATCTAATGTATTTTTTTTTGTTTGCTTTTGAAGGGTGATCTGGTCTATGCCAACTATGGACGGATAAAAGATTTCCTGTATCTCATAAACAATAAGTCCATGGACCTGAAGGGCAAAACAATTATCGCAAGATACGGCAAGATCTACCGCGGTGACAAGGTACACCAAACTGCACGTGCATTTTACTGCCAATTATCAGGATTTGATTTAAGATTTCCTCTTGGCTCTTAATAACTATGGGGTGGTCAGAAGCATTTACTGCTCATTAGCTTTCTTAAGCTTACTGAACTAATTAAATCGCAGGAGGTGGGGGTGGGGGCATTATTACCCTATGCTCTTGGGTCATCAAGTAGAGTTCTCCTTACAAAGTATATATAGAGCAATCCACTTGCAAGTTAGTGCATGAGGTGTCAATTATCCTTTATTGTCTCTCTTAAGATATACATGTACTATTATAAAATCATATTATGCGTGTCTTAAGAACTTTGCACTGGTTATCATGATATTTCATATTTCCTCCCATCTGCAAAATTTGAGGAATTGGATCCCAGGTTTGTGAGATTTTTTAAATATTAAATAGTATATATTTCTTGAAAATTCTTGCCTGTATAATTCTTAAAACAATGTGTTGCAATATTTGGTGCATTTTGTACATCTCTAAGAAGAATGAATTTCCTCTTGACATGTCATATATTTAAACGTGGAACAGAAAACTCCTAATGAAATGTTGCTGTCTTCAGTAAAGGAATTCATGAAGGACAGTTATAACTATCTCGTTGAAAATCTATAGGATGAAAGTCCTAACAAGCTATCTGAAAACATTAGAAGCTTTTATCTAGTGTATGTTTATTAATTGATTTCTGAAGTTCGATGTTGTTGTTGTTGTTGTTTTTTTTTTTTTTTTTTTTTTTTGAGAATAGGACATCTTAATGGAATTCATCTGTATGTTAGCAATGAAAGCAAAGTTCAAAACATTGGAATTTAATTTTTAAAATCTCAATCTCTGTAAGAATAACAGATGCTATACTTTTTTTCAAAATTCATATTTAATATAGTTTCACAACAGCAACGCTAACGCTCGTTATTCAGTTTGTTTGCACCTACTGTATCAATTATGAGACTATATATTGCATAAAATAAGGATTCAATGTCTATACTTACATTTTTTTTACTCCTTGCATTGAATGCAAATGAGATATAAATTTTAAAATCGCTGTTTTATCCTTCGGGTAAGTTACAATTAATGGAAGTGCAATTGCAACAGCTTCCGTTCATTGTGATATACTAATATAAAATCATATTATGCGTGTCTTAAGAACTTTGCACTGGTTATTAAGATATTTCATATTTCCTCCCATCTGCAAATTTTGAATTGAATCTCAATTTTATGAGATTTTTAAATATCAAATAGTATATATTTCTGAAAAATTATTATATATAATTCAAGACACAATGTGTTGCAATATTTGGTACATCTCAAAGAGAATCAAATTTCCTCTTAACATGCCATATCATATTTAAATGAGGAATAGAAAGCTCGAAGAGAATGTTGCTGTCTTCAGTGTATGATTTATGGGTGAAAATTATACCTAGCTCGGGAAAAATCTTTTGGCTGAAAGTCCTCAGAAGCTATCTGAAAACAGAAGCTTTTATCTAGTGTATGGATTTTTATTGATTTTTTCCAGCTTAAACAAACCTTTAATGTATTTTGTTTTTTTTTTAAATAGAACATTGTAATGGAATTCATCTACATGTTAATTAAATTTTTAAAAAAATCTCTTTTAGAATTAAAGAAAATTTAGAACTGCATGTTAATTAAATTGAAAAAGAAAATAAATAATTTCTTTTTATTTTTATTTTATTTAAATTGGGGCAGAAATTCTAAGCACCATCTTAACGCATATATAAGTAAACGTATGACTTTCATTTACTGTGCATAAATTGGGGTAAGAAGGGCTGAATAATAATTCATATTTTGAATTTTTCTGTAAGGATTGAAAACCAGAATAATCCCCAAATCTCTCGCAGAAGATTTCTGAACATTTTTTTTTTATTTCTTTTATTCTCGATTTGAAAAAAAAAAAGTCAAATGTTGAACAAGTTTATTCAGCCACCCTATCTCTGAAAGAGAACCAGACTTAAAAAGGGTGTCTTCAAACGTAATAAAACTATACTTATTTAAACTTGCCAAGTAGATATACAGGGTTTGTTTCCCAAAACATATGTTACACTTTTAAAACGTTATAAAAATTTTTGTCTTAAGTTACATTTATGAGATATAATTTTAAAATAAAATCGTGTTTTTTCCTTCAAGCATAAGTTGCATTTTTGGAAGTTCCATTGCAACAGCTCCTTGTATATATCATATAAAATCATATTATGCGCAAATATTTAGAACTTTACATGTGTCATTTTACATTTTCCCATAATGAATTTTGAATTAACTTTGTATGAATTTTAAAATTTAAAATGAAGTTTTTTTAAACCAAACTTTTAATGTATTATTTTAATAGTTAAGAGGTTTTCCCATTAAAATTGTGTTTCACTGAACAACAGAATTTAAGATTTTCTTTAGAAACATTGTTAAAATGGAAGGGAAAAGAAAACTTCATCGGAAAACCTGCATCTCTTAGTGAATTTTCAAATTATAAGAGTCATAGGTCAAATTCAAATCTTGAAAAACTATTAACAACTTCTAATGTATGTTTTTTTCAAATGCTGCATTACACTTATCTTATTGGAATCAATTTTAAATCAAATTTGAATATTCAATGAACATTAGAATTTAATAAAAGGTGCTATTTTGTATAGAATTTTATTGGGTCCACTTTTTCAAACTCTTTTTGTAAAAATTTAAATTTTGTCTTTCAAATGAATAATATTTTTTTTTTACGTGCATGTTAATTTGGTAGACATTCTAATACCAGAATTAAGTATGACTGTCATTTATGGTGTGTGTAATTTCAAAAGAACATAACTGTAATGCAATGTAAAATTATTTTGATCATACTTTCACTTTACAAATATTTTTTTAAATGGTTTTGACTAAAGTAGCAGATTTAGAAGGAGGGCTAAAGTAAAGTTTTACTTGTATTTATTTCAATCTGTTCCAGAAGGTTTAAGACCTCTTTATTTTAAAAAAATATTTCTGTGATATTAAGAAAAGTAACATGTTTAATTGCCTAGTTTATTAACAGAATTTTGGAAAAAGTTTGAGTCAGATAAAATTGTATTTTTGAATTATATATATTTAAAAATATACTTTGAATACTTTTGGTTTGATTTCAAGTTATAGTGATTAAATGAAGAAAATATTGACTTCATCATATTTACCACTGAAAAATATAATTACCTTCTTGCATTAGTGATATAACATTTTCCCTCTTTTAGGAAAATCAGATGTAAAAATATTTACTTCGTATCTTTATGTAAAAACATCATTAAAAATCATAATAAATATATTCGGAATTCAATTTAAGGTGAAGAATGCTCAGCGTTTTAATGCCTCGGGGATTATCATGTACACGGACCCCTCGGATTTTAACAGTACCTACCCTGACTCCTGGTGGATACCACCTTCCGGTCTCCAGAGGGGGCCGGTGGGGCCGGACGGAGACCAACTGACGCCGCTCTATCCCGCAACTGGTGAGTACATTCCTTAATCTGTAAAACACAATGTGGATCAAGAGAAAACAGTTTGATATCAGTTAAATTAATTTGAAGACGATTTGTGGTTACTTGTAATATTTTTGTGAATTCTTTTATACAAAGTGTATGAAATGCAAATTAAAATAGGTATGGAATTAAAGGTTATTTGATGCTTCTGAGAAATTATTTATTTTTAAATAGACTACGCTTACAGAGTGGAACAGTCAGATATTGAAAACTTTAGAATTCCAGCACAACCTATAAGTTATGGAGATGCCCTTCCAATATTGAGGTACGTTCCATTAAACTTTTATAGTTATTCCCAGAACAGGATTTGGCAGTGTGGATAGGGGTCTAAACCAATTTTATGTGTTCATTCACTATTTATTCTTATCAATCATTGTTGATTACTTTTTTAAAGATACCCCGAACTGATGACATGAAATCACACTTTTCTCACTGCTTTATCTAACTGAAAAAAAACAAAAAGAGTTTGTGAAATATTGGATATACGGCAATCTTTATACCATTAAAAGGATGTTTACGAGAAAAAGGCTTGGCAAAAGCAAATATCTGTGAAATAAAAGAATACTAGTATGTGTATACGTCATTAGGCATCAACCTGTGTAATATCAGTCTCCGGAATTCAATAAAAAATTGATGTAATGAAAAAGAGATCTCTGATGTCTATAGAATTTCTTAAAATATAAGGAAGAAGAGAAGTCCGTATATTCTTAGAATTCTCAATATACTCCATCCCTCTTATTGCTTCTGTGTGTACTTCGAATTCTCTACATACTTTGTCCCTCTGATTGCTTCTTTCTCATACTTTTTTCGTCCATTACCAACTATTTGTTTTCCATATCTCAGATATCTCCACTTTTATTATATTATTTGACTCAATTCTGACATGCTTTATCTAGTTTCATACTCTAGGTTGCCTATTTGGCAAACTTTAACAGTCTGCTATTGTTTGTGTACTATCCTTGCATAACAAACGGCTCTTGGTATTTTATCCTTTTCCTTTTCATCTTTGAATTTCTCTGTGTCATCTCAAATGAATTCAGATTGAATCATCTTCAATAACTTTATCGTGCTTTATGGAGACATTCAGTAGGTACACGGTGGACTATTACTAGAGTTCAAGTATTTCCGTTTTTTGCTTGTTGACCGTGGTCTCGTGTTCATGTAGATACAATCTACTTTAGACACTTAAACGAAGGTCAAGATAAAAGTTAACAATGTTTTGATTCCCCTTTCAACGTACATTAAAACTCTTGTGGTTGTGTTTCGAATATTTTAATCTATAAGATGTGATAATGCTCAAGAGCCTTTGTAAATAATACAAATTGCGAGTAGAACCAACGCGGTCAGAATGGATCAGGTGCAATAGACTCTGTGATAAATACTTGTATTGTAGCAGATATTCCAAATTGAAAAGAAGACAAATAAAAGATATTGACCTTGAGAGAAAAATTTGAAAATGGTTTCCTTGAATTTCTAAAATATATAATTTTGTAAAAAAGAAGGTCACACAGTGTTTAATTTAATTTAAGTAATAACTTATTATTCTTTTTCGATGCCGATACAATCTACTTTAGACACTTTAACGAAGGTACAAGTAGCGTACACTTAGATACATAATTCTGATTATCGGTTTTTGATTTCGATGAACAGTGTCTTTGTAACTAAAATTGGAAATTTCTTTTATATCTTTTGAAAATGCAACCCCTCCCTCCTAACTTTGGGTCTGATTTCAATATCGTTTTGCACGCAAGTGACTACACTTAGGTGCATAATTTTGCATTTAATAAATGATGCTGCCATTATTGATAAAAAGAATAGAAAATTCTGTAAAATTCTTTCAAAATGTTTCTCCTCCTAGAGTTTTAGTGTGATTACAATAAAAATTGCCACATAAAGAGACTTAACCAAGGATCATTTTTGAATATAGGTACTCGACCTGACCGCACCATTGTGTTCTGTGCCTGGGGGGCGGAGGAACATGGTTTAATAGGATCAAATGAGTGGGTTGAGGTAAGAACGATAACTTGTTTATCATTAGAAAATACAGGGTTGTGTTCCTTGGTTTACATTTTTTTCTACTAGCGTTAAAAAATTTATGAAAGAAATAGGTATATCTGATCAATTTTAGTCGACTTATTTTTACCAAAAAACACCATACCGTCTGTTTGCAATGGGTTTATTTTCTTTCTGACATTTCTTTATTATGTGAACTTTATTTATTTATTTATTTATTTATTTATCAAATGTCTTTATTTCAGAAGAAAGATAAGAAATTCATGGATAATTTATTGCTTAACGTTTGTAGTATTTCAAATGGTAAATATATGGGGAAAAGATATATATAATGTCTTATTCCTACGCCCGATATAAATGAAGTGAAAGGTTAGTTACTCTAAGGGTGTGTCAAAACTTTTACTTTGGAATATGGATAGAAAGTACCTGATGGAGATCAGTATTCCTATTGAAATGTAAACATACTTAGCTGCAGAACTTACGTTGTCTCCCGTCCGTCTGTCTGTCTGTACTCTGTAAACAATTTTTCAAAAAGCTACTCCTTCTACAGTTTTGGTTTTGTTTCAATGACTACCGTGAAATACATATGTTATCCTCAATAAGGACTATATGTGATACGAGCTACATGTCATTGCAGATAAAACATGCCTCCTCCAAGTATTTTATATTTATGTTCACTTGACACAAGTATTAAAATCACAATTCTAGTATCGAAATTTGATTTCGATGAACATTCTATGGCCCAAAGCCTTCACATTCTTAAAATACAACGCTATAACTTTGCACCAGATTAAAATATCGTTTGGAAATTGATATCATTTGTTTATCAATAAAAGTTGCCACATTGAAAATACTGTAAATTACATTCTTTAAAATTAAACGCGTTACAAAGTTATCAAATTATAATTATTTATAAATATCCTGCCACGAAAGAAAAATAGCTATTTTTAAATAAAGGTACTCACGTGACCGCCCATTGTGTTCTGCTACTTTTAGATGGCTTAATAGGACAAACGTGGCGTAAAGAAAACAAGAAAATACAGGCCGTTTACAGATTTTCTACTAGCGTTAAAAAATTTATGAAAGAAATAGGTATATCTGATCAATTTTAGTCGACTTATTTTTACCATGGTACTTATCTTTTAATGGGTTTATTTTCAGTTCTGACATCTTTTTGTTATGAACTTTATTTATTTACCTTATATATTTAATAAATGTTGTATTTCAAAGATAAGCAAATTCCTGGATAATTTATTGTTAACTTTGTAGATTTCAAATGGTAAATGTATGTTTCTAGATATATATATACTGTTTATTCGCACTTCCTTCATCAATATTCATGAAAGGATTAATTCTTAATGTGTCAAAACTTTTACTTTGGAATATGTTTAATTGTTTTGTTATTACAACATACTTCTGCAGAACAATTTTTTGGAAAGTATTATTTTTCATTACAGCTTCATGTGTTTTAAAACATGCCCAGTAATCATTTATGTTTCACATGAAAATTAAAATCGACAATTTAGTATTCGAAATGATCGTCTACATTCTGGCCCAAAGCCTTCACATTCTTAAGTAAAGTTGTACATGGATGTGTAAACCTGATGTTTTGCTTCTTTTAAATACTCTTATGCAGTTGTGAAAAATCACCAGAATCCGGTGAATAGATTAAAAAAAAATTGTATTGCTTGTAGGAGTACATGAAAGTGCTATATGAGCGAGCCGTTGCTTATCTGAACGTTGACTACGCAGTAGATTACAACTATGTCTTGACTGCCGGAACCAGTCCACTTCTGCAGGATTCTCTATATGAAGCTACTAAAATGGTAAGTATACATGAAAAATTAAAGAATCTGTAAACACTACTAACCGAAGAATTCAGATACAATGATACTCAGCTAGAGTGCTCTTCATTCTCATGTAAAACGGAATAAACAGAACTATAAAGTAAACGATACAATTTAGAAAAGATTAAAACATTATTTACATCATGTAAGGTAAATTACTAGAAAACATTACTTGTATGTATTCTACCAACGTTAATATAAGTAAACAACAGAAATTGTGCTCTGTAATACTTCTTTGTCTTTATATATTTTTTCTCAGGAGAAATAAGGAAGGTACTCTATTTTGAAAACCAATTATGTACGACTTTTCTCGAAGTCTGAAAAACACTTGTCATCGTTGTTTCTTTTTTTCACTTTATACAATTTCATTCCTGACAATAAATTAAAAACTGGGCACCTGTTCTCAACTGTGAAATTTCTAAGAGACCGTGCCTCATTCACAGATTTGTACTGCTGATAGATTTTTTCGCTATCTCCGCCTTTTTTCATTAGAACTTCCTCAATCTGAAAATCTTTTATTTGTGTTTTGCAAATTATATTTTAGAATTATTAAATTTTTCCTCAAGGTTCCTAATCCAGACACTAGTAGTCGTGATAAAACAGTGTATGATGCCTGGAAAACAAGAGACGGCTCAGATGATGTAGAACCAAGGTATGAGTTGTCAAAGAAATCGCCAAAAATTGTCAAAGAAAATACTTTTCTCTCTCGAAAATATACTGATTAAGGCGTTCTGTCTATTTTAATCAATAAAATAAAAGAAAATGGAGTGTATAATGTTTATCTGGAGAGTGCCTATAGTTAAGGTTCTTTACAAAGTTTGTTAAAATATTATCAGTTCAATTATTATCAGATTTAAGGAGTAATGCAACACCAAAATTTTATTTGAAAGATCTTTAGGACAACCATTTTGAATTATGGTTTAAACATAAGAAACTGATATCAATTATCAAATAACATTTTGTTGTAGCTACCCTCTCTGACATTGATTTTGATACACATTTTCAACTTCATATCTTTTTTTTAAAAACCAGAAACCGTAATAATTTACAATATATATAATAATTTCTTCTTTTTATCGTTTAGTGTATATTATTCTCTGGGTTCTGGTAGTGACATGGCTACATTTTATCAAAGAGCAGGAGTGCCATGCATAGACATGTGGTTTACATATGATTCGGTAAGAGTTAACTTAAGATTCGAAACGGTGTATAGATTTCTCTTAAAACGATGAGTTTGATATTTATTCTATTAATTCTTTTCAGAAAAAATGGGACATCCTTTCTTATCCAGTATACCACTCTGCATATGAAACAGTTTATTTGTATGAGAAGTTTGTTGATCCAAATTACGCATACACAAAATCAATGGCTGAATTATGGGGCATCCTTGCATGGTAAGAATTAAACCCAAAAATAAACTACTATTGGTATCTTATTTAAAACATAGCTATATATGACGTATCTGGGCTAAAAAATAGAAATACGAGATTAAATGTAGATGAAGATGATATTTACTAACTATGTTCAAATTAAATTTTTCATTGATTTTAAACTTAAATATTCCCGCGTTTCTATAGTTAAATTGACTTCAATGCCCGAGTCAGAAATAAATCGGTTATTGTTTTAAATCTTTGTCTATGATTTGAAACACTATTGATTTAAATTGTGTAATTTACAGGAAAGTCTTATCTTGATATAAAGTAACAATACAAGTAGAAAGATCTAATTTGAGTAAGTCTAAACTTATCAAAAATACGCCATATATGACTTCAAGTTGAATGTTATTTTGCTACTACATGTAGTTATTACTCTTCTGAATTACCTATGATACAACAAAAGATCTACCATCAACTTTTCTTATATATACGAATTTGTGGTTTATGTCTCTTAACTAAATCAATGCTGAAGAGCTTGCGCTTAGTACAAATAAAATAATACTTCGGCAGGCATTTTATAGATAAGATGATACTTCGTATTAAATTGATTTCAAAAATCTTTGTAAAATTCAGCATTTTGTAATTTTGTTTTATTGGTTCTTATACTGTCATTGTTTACAAATAAAACATATTATCGGGTTGTATTACATGTATGACTGACATATTTTATACCAATTGCTGTTTATGTCCTTTATTTGATTACGGGTTATTTCGGGTATGGCATCTGATCAGTGGATAGGCTAATAATGGGTGATTAGTTGACAGGGATAGTTACTCCTTCTAGACACCTGAGCTTTTTTTTAAGTAAAGTTTTAAATGAACAGTGTAAAGGAAATAAAAAATAAATGCTTACTGGAAAAAGTATGTTTGCTATACATTTTAAAAAATGGATTTTTTTTCCTTTAAAAAATGAATCTATTTGTCCTGTTAGATTTAGTATATGTACTATATATGCTTACATGTCAGATGTTATCCACAATGTCACCAATTCCCATCTCTGATGTTTTGGTGGTCCGTGTTGGCCCTGCTCCTATTTTATATTGTTTTATGGGGTTTTTTTTCACGATGGATACTGTTCGTTATATCCATATGTTCCATTGTGATGGATATCTACATGTTTGTACATGACATGAAAACTTTCTCGTCAAAATTGTTACTTTTCTAATGATTGCTATGAAGGATATGGAGATAACAAACAGTATAAAAAGATTCATATTCAAATATTGCTTACCTTCATGACAATAATCTCCATTCCGCCCTGGGTGACACCAAAATTCACATCTACCAGTCGTTGTATTACAACCATAACATGTACTATTACAAATCTCCAGTCAGTTTCGTCCAAATGTTCCGTTTTTACAGACTAAGGGATAATTGATAATATGTATGTAGTTTATGAGTGAAATTCTTAGATGAAGGATATGGAGATAACGAACAGTATTCAATATCAAAGACCATTAAAAAAATACATAATAGGAACAGAGTAAACACCGATCTCTAAAAACATCAGAGGTGAGATCAGGTGCCATGGAGGAGTGAGCATCCCCTGCTGACCGGTCACACCCTCCAGTTATCCTTGTCATGATCGGGAAATAACGGAAAAATCCGTCGTCAATTCAGTGTACATATTGTATTAACAATTTGTATGGAAAACGTGAGTCAGCATTTGACTCAATGATAAATTGCATTTGCTGACAAGGTCATTGTATCGACCATAGAACTAACGAAATGATTTTAAACGAGACTGCTGAAATTTTTGTTTCATCAACTTGTTTGTCAATAATTTAACTTGTTTTAGAAATTTTTCATACGTAGAGCATGCTCTTGCGTATCGAATCAACTGAGATATAAGTAAGGATAGTTGACGATAGAAAAGTTAAAGTTTATCATAGAGCTTGGTTGTTAAATTACCATTAACGTCTTTTTCAAGTAAAATATCCAAGTATGAAACAGATTTGTTAGACTCTGTGGTATCTTTTATCTCTTGCTCATCAGGATATACATGTATCGTATCGACATAGGAATGGAAATTACCATTGTTAATTGACAATACGTCGTCGATATATCTAATTGTTGAAGGCCAAAGATAGTGTTTTCTTCTGTTCACGCATAAGATTTTTCACAAATTCTGCTTCATATGAATACAAAAATAGGTCTGCTTAATTTTTTTAAAAAAATTTACAGACCAGACCTCAACATAGTTATATAGAAATGTCAATTTTGTCTTTGTTTAAATACTTACATGTAATGTTGGATTTAGTATATATGCCAGATAATTTTCATAATACACGTGTACCTTGTTGCAGGAACATTGCAAATGAAAAAGTTTTAAAGTTTGACGTAAGAAGATATGCCTCAGCAATAAGTACTTTTATAACAAGTTTAAAGAAGGATTTTGGTGTAAAGTGGTCGAAAGAAAACGTAAATATAGGTAAGAAAAATAGTTTAAATACAAGGACGATTTTTCATATTTAGAAAAAAATTGAAGTAAATTCTTAGTGTTCATGGTTCAGTATATGAGTTCTTCTGCTTATTCATTTATATTGTATTCTTTTGTAAAATTAATAAGAGGTGTAAAATAGAATTTTTTAGAACAATTATAATTCAATCCTTATATGTATAATGATGAATGCTGAAGAAGAAATGGCCTTAATGACGTAGAAATGATTAAAATAAGCTCTTTCATTTTTAACAGCCGCTCTGGAATCCGCAGCGCAGAATTTAACTTCTGAAGCCAACAGATTCCATCAGAAACTACAACAGAAATTACAACATCCACATAAAATAAGGTACCGTGCTAGTTATTCTTTAATTAAATGAGTATAATCCTTGACAAAATCATACTATACAATGATTTCAAAAAGAGAAGTAATATGAAATACATTTATGTCTACAGACATAAAAGAAAGAAAAAAATTACATAGAAATTAACTCTATGGATTTGTAGTGTCTATTTCAAGTCTTTTTTTCTTCAACAGTGTTTTAGAGAGCAGGCAGATTAATGATAAGTTGATACAATTTGAGAGAGCGTTCATTGATTGTGAGGGTCTTCCAGGCCGTCCAATGTACAAGTAAGTTATCACATTAATTATACATTTTAAGAGTAAAATCTACATTAAAAATTAAACTATACATCTATGCATTTACACCATAAATAAAAATTTTGTCTTGCAAGAGAAAAAGGGAATAAATATTTAAAAAAACAAAAACAAAAGAAACCTATTCATCTTTTAAAGCATTTCGTGTTTTCAAGATATTAATATTTGCCTATGGCTTTGTTTGGTTTGTTTTAAATAAATTGAAAGTTGTTTAGTATGTTTTAAATAAATTGAAAGATGACAATATGATACACCGTATGAATGTTGTTTTAGGCACGTGATGTTTGCACCCAGTATGTACGATTCCTATTCAGACAATAGTTTCCCAGGTATTGTGGACACTATGAATGAAATTGAAAACCGTAATGCAACTGAAAAGTGGGGAATATTGAAACAACAAGTATCTGTAGCCACCTTCACTATACAATCAGCAGCTAATACATTAACAGAAGTTGGACTTTGACATTTAGTTTAAATAATTTAGAATTATTTTTTCACCAGAAATGTCCAGAATATACTGGTACTTAAGTTAAGTTGCTATATTTTTTTAAAGTTCTACAAATTGTAAAAGTGGAGTATTAGAAATGTTTAAGGACAGATGATACAAAAAAAAAAAAAAAGATGCCTGGATCGGTTTATTATTTTTTGGCCTAATTTCATTGTAAATGATGCAAATAACACATTTCTAAAGTATAAAAAAAATTGTAAACCTTCTGTGATGTTCAAAAGTCTGCCTTCCTGAAACCATCCTTATTAATCTATACAAATATTGTTTACTTTAAATCCCTAATTTTGTGAAATTTTGAATAAAAAAAATTAAAAACTACACGGTGAAAACTTGTTCATTTTACTCATTTAAATATTACTCAAGTTGTTCTTTTTCAATTTTTTTTTTACATAAGATTGTATCATTTGTCCTTAAGATGGTTATTTGTTTGAGTTTACACTTAAAAGTCGTCATAATAAATGTATAATTCAATTTTTGAGGTGTATTTTGTAATAGTTTTTCCTTTAAACTATATGTTTGCATTGACTCCGATGATGTGTTTACAATGTACACCTGTACTAAAGAGAAAATAGAAAACCTTGAAATCTTTTATGTCTATCGACCTGCTCTACATTTTTTTTCTGCTTTGAATATGTTCTTTTTACTATGCAAATGTCTTGATTTGTCTAGTTGACAAATAATTTTTACGTATTTCCGGACAATTTTCAAACAATATCGTAATTTTTTTTTTTGAAATTTAACCCAGTATTTGACGATATACAAGTAGTATTTATTCCATTTTGAAATTCAAAGAAAAAAAATATTAAAAAAAACAGGTATGCATAATTCCTAACAGGATGACAAATTATGCATACTTTTATTTTTAAAAAAATTATTATTAAGCTAGAAAATTTCAAGTTGAGATAACGGATATGTAGATATATATATTTTTTTGCATTCTCAGATAATATTATACATTGTTTAAATACCAAAACATCCTGTGATGTGTTAAATACACGTTTTTTCTCATATTCTTAACACAAATCCAAGCAATTTTTTTGCCTTGACATTGTTTGATATAGTTTTGAAAAATCCAGTGCAGTCACGATCATGTTGTCATTTAAAGTGAATCTTTTTTCAGCATTATTGTTTTATTATTGATTTTATGCAATCGGTTTGTTTAAAATTCTGTAATAATTGTATAAATGCTTTCATTTTCGTCCACAGCAGATGTCATGATGTTGTAAATGAGAATATGAAATGTTTTGTAGAAGGTTGTCTGTCTGCTACATTTAAAAAATTGTAATGAAGCACATGATAGTGTGATTGTGTTCCATATTTAACACTATTACTGAAAGAGGTAGTTTGAGTGTGTCAAGTATGTGTAATGTGCGTTTAGCGTTTACATTCCTCGTTAGTGGTATTAGATTTTTTGAATAAATAAGGAAAACACATCATGACTTTCAATATTTTCCAGTTTTAAATATTTCTGGTACAAATTTCTTACTGTATGATGTACAAAAGTCATAAACTTGTGAAAGTATCTGCAGTTTTCAGCAAAACTGACTTTAAAAACAGGAGAGTTGAAGGTAAGCTTCATTAACAATATATAGATGATGTTTTATCAACAAGAGCTTTAAATTTCACTCGTATGTTGATGATATATCCCGGTGAATATGATAGAAAGACACCACAGAGTCTGACTCATCTGTTTAATATTTAGATGTTTCACTGACCATAGAAATTAAAGGCCGATAAGTAATTAAATTGTATGAGTGACAAACGAGGTGACAATAGATTTTCCATTGCGTACTTTCCTTATTTTTGTCATAAAATTCCACTATCACCTGCTTCTGGTATGTATCTCCCAACTAATTCGCTACCGAAGATACAGGCTACTCACTGATAAGTTGGTGTATACTTAAGAAATAAGGTATCATTTTTTTAGTTTTATTGGGATGTAAAACGGGTTGGTCACGTGATCAAATCCCATAAAGCCCGAAGATTTGACCATGTGCCAACCCGTTTTAACATCCCAATAAAACTCAAAAAATGATACCTTATTACTTATATTTACATTTGTGACTTATTCGTAATTTAAATTTGCCTGATTGTGACTTTTAACGTGTGAAATGCATTATTTTTAAAACCCAACGACATGTATGTAATCCACTGAACGTGCGTCGACCCTTTATGACGTCACTGAGAAATATGTCGAACGTTTATCCATACGAACAACTATGGGTGCAAAACACAGTTTTATGTATGACGTTATCAGGACGTTACTTGGTGAGGGACAAGCAAAATTGACCCCTATAAAAAAATAAAATGGAGGATTGTTACATAGACTTCTGCATATCAATGGAAAGATAAAATTGTGAATTTTGTAAATATCCAACTATAATACATTCATCAATTACTACTAGGGGGTATTTGACACCTGAAAAATGGGGGATATTGGGTTGTTTATGCATCCATTTTCAGTGCACCTATGCATTTTTAACCCCCCTGCTCAACAAAAACAGAAAAAATCAGACAAAATTAGTTGTATGCATTTCACAGAACAAGTCCTAAGGTTTTCTTTTAGTGTGCTTTTAGGGTACATTTTCCACCTCTTGAAAGAGCTTCATTACCTGCTAATTGACTCATGCAATTCTGCACATGTGAAAACTGGATGTTTTGGGAGTTATCTCCCCCTATTAAAAAGTCTCACAATTTTTTTTTCTAAAAAAGAATGCAAATTTTTTCTTTAAATATTAAGATAAGACTCTACTTTATGCAAATAAAAACGAAAAAGATCATGTAGACTCCTATAAATAGCAGGAAAATCCCTACCCAGCATGCTTCTCTCTGGGAAAACCCCCCTGGATTTTATACGAAACTGTGTTTAGGCAAAGCTACCTATGACCTCTTGACCCGTACCTGTATTTATACAGTTATAAAAACGCTTGATTTCAGTAGTGTTATATAAAGAAAAACATTTGCAAATGTAAAGATAGGGATTTTAACAGCCTCGATTAAAGACAGCATTTCTACATTTTATGGTCGTTGTAATGGCTTTGTTTGCAAATATAACCTATTTTTGGCCGTTTTCTGGCTGACTTGGTCACACCATTTTGCTAGGCCTTTCATATAAATTGATTACGGATAGTTCCGGCTCATGGCAGGTGTGACCGGTCAACAGGGAATGCTCACTCCTCCTAGGCACCTGGTTCCATCTCTGGAATTTCCAGGGGCCCGTATTTGTACAGATTTGTATTGTTTTTGGGTTTTTTTTAGTAGATAGGCTATTTAATTACGGTTTTCTTTACCTTTTACATTATAAACAGAATGAACATCTAAAATAAAAATGCAGCAAACTGAGACCGTAGATGTATTTAGTGATGACATCAACACTTAAAATAGGTGAAGCTAACATTTAGTGAATCCTGTTAACAATTAATTCAAATGTCTAAAGAGCAAAAATATGATCCCAGAAGATGGCACCAGACTTGTCCAAGGTGGAGTAAGCAATCCATATCGACCGGTTACACCTGTCGTGAATATACTCGGTATGGATCTAGTTGTCAGGCAGATGAAGCAAATTCCAACTTGCAAAGTCAATATTGGTAAAAGGGAACGGCTGAACAATCGGTATGAAACATGACAAAATATTTACATTCGCTGTGTTTTTCTACTAAGCCAGCTGTGAAATTGATTCTAAAATCATTTTCGTATAATTCCAATCTTAATTTTATTTATTGATTCCTTGTGTTTTGATTGGACGAGAACAAATTCAAGAAAAAGTTTACACATCGATGAATTTTTCAACTAGAATTACTTTCTTGACTGTTGTAAAAACAATGAAAACAGATACTTCTACTGGTAGTCCGTTTTAGCTAAATTATGATTACAAAAAACTTATAATAAAAAATGAATGAATGAATGAATGAATTAATGAATGAAAAGGAGATAAATAGGACTGACAGACGGGAATATTATGTTTATGTCACTGTCGGATCACGGGTGTGAATTTTTGAAATCGCTGATCATGCTGTCAATTTCTAGACGTTCCATATCAGCTCAGTTGGTACCGTTGTGATAGGGAAAAGAAACGTACCTCAGACTCTTGCCTTTTCAGCATCAAATTCATATATTTACATGCTACAGATCCCATTTTCTCCCTAAATCTTTGAACGAACCAGAGCAAATCGAGGACGTCGTCGGTCTTCAACTTTCGTCATGACGTCAAAATGACCATGGTCAAGGACGAATTATTTTGGAGAATACGCGTATTTACGATATTTGTTGACTTAAACAACATTCAATGAGTTTTTATAAGTTTAATTATTGATTGTTTTGACAAATAAAGTTGGATTTTATCCATATTCATCTTGTATACGTTTCTTTGCGACATAAAGTATTCCTACGCCGTACAAAATAACGGATTGTATGGCTGCCTCAAAGAGAAATAATTTTGATAATTAAAAAAAAATCGTAATTGGAATTATAAGAATTAAACTTTTTTTTCAGAATTTATCGATGTGTAAACTCTGCCTTTTTACTCACAAACTGAACATAAAAGTGCATAAAAGTGCTTCGCACTTTTATTCAGTTTGTGAGTAAAAAGACAGAGTTTACACATCGATGTGTAAACTCTGCCTTTTTACTCACAAACTGAACATAAAAGTGCTTCGCACTTTTATTCAGTTTGTGAGTAAAAAGACAGAGTTTACACATCGATAAATTCTACACGTAGAAACGTGCCTTACCGTGACGTCACAATAGAGCTACAGCGACGTTAGAAAAAGTATAACAATATAGGGGAGTGAGAAATTCAAATATTAAGTATATTTTAGGTGCTTCCAAACATGTAAAATGTAAATATAATGAAGGTTTTTAAGTTTAGTGTGAATTATTGGTGTGAGAATCACACAGACTTGCATGTAGGCATATTTTCATGAAGCGCTAGCGCGCTTCATGAAATATGCCTACGTGACAAGTCTGTGTGATTCACATACCAATAACTCA